CTTTGCTTCCAAACGTACCTCTTCTGGCTTCATTGGGTCTTCAGCCTCTGCTGACTCCTAACGGGAATAAGTAATCAGTTCCAAGATCAGAAGAAAGGCAGCAAAGCTTAAATCCAAATCTCATTTTCAGGAGAGAAATATTGTTTCTTCCCCAACACCTTTGCTGTATCCAGTGCTGTATGTATTATGAGTTCCAGCCCATGGGCAGAGAAAGCATGTAGGTGCATATGATATGGTCATGCATTCTAAGCATCTTGGTTTACAGTTTCTAAAACAAAACCTGTTGTCCTCCATGTCTGCAAATATGAAGGCAATATCTGGTGAATCTCAGATTATTCCTTTGTTTTACATCATTGCTTTTCTGCATTTTATTGCTGATAGAAATACAGAGGAGCATCTATTTAATTCTTTTTAGTGTTTCACTCTGAAGAAACTTACCATTTCATATTCTTACAACAGGACAGATCAAAATTGATCAATTCAGGGTTCTAAATACTTGTACAACCCATGTCTTCTGTTTCCTTTCACTCATCCCATTTACTTTCCTAAACACAACGGCTTTGAGTGTGCACACCTTTGTTACATACAAGTGCATGTGTAATTTTTATAAATAAATAAATAATAGGCCAGAATCCCAAAATGCCTCCTTATCATTCTTCCTGTCACAGTTTTGGGATTTTTCTGTTTGTAGCAAAGAATCCATTATTTGCAGAAAGCCTTTAATAACAGATCCATGAGATGGTTGGTGGTATATTAATTTGCAAAGGAATTTTTCCTAGACAGCAGCATTTGGACATGATCTGTTAAAAAGGATGTCAATTGCTTCTGCATTCTCTCCCCTCCCCTCCCCCTCAATTCACCACCTCAAAATCAGTGCTGTCATGCAGGTATATAGATTTTTTTAAAATGATAATAAAAAATAACAATTTGCAGTTTCTATACTTATTATATTATCATATCAATTTCTATACTTATAGAGTAGCAGAAAACGATCCTTATTCTTTCCATTCAAAAAAAAAGAAAGATGGAAAGATGGAAAGCTTAAGTTACTCTCAAGTGGTTTGGAAATTTAGCTTAAAATACATTTAAAAAATAGATATGCCTGCAGATGTATGAAACACCTGTGCTCGTGTCAGGAGAATTCAGGGATGAGTGAACAGGGGTAGATTAATTCTGATATCTGAGCCTCTCCCAAAATCTGTGGCAGCAAAGCACTATGATTGATGCTAAGATTCCCTTACTATTTTACGTTTTTCTCCCTAAAAGGATTACCCCTATGAAGGGGGGGGAAAGGGTAAAACACTGATAGATGACTACAGGATTTCTATTTTGCATTTTTTTTTTTTTTTTT